AACCGAAACGGCACTTATTGGAATACTGATTAAAGAGAGACGTATGTTTTGCATCCATATATTCACATCGCTTTGTTTCAACATCTTTTCCAAATACACTCCTATAATGAGTGTTCGTCTGCATTGAACCGGATGTCTACTCACCTCATTTTCAATCATCAATTAAGATTGCAACAAATCAATTTAGGAGTTGTTGAACTCACCAGCGAAAGCAGACGTGAAACACATCGAAATGACACATAAAAAACCAATAGCAGGATATTGCTGAATACGATTCGTCGATTTCGGTGGTTCATATTGAAGTTGAACATTCGCTACACCGATGGCCATCAACACCAATGCTAACCACTGTTGTTTTGTCAAACGTTTCTTCAACATCACACAAAGAAGTATGGCCGTCGTGAAAATTTTGAACTGATACACCAGCTGAAAGCCATTGATAAATGCACTAATACTCATGGAAAAGCACTGATGAAGTCCTGCAGCCAAACTAAATAACTGCGGTCTGTAGTAAGGAGGCCAAATCAGTTGAAGAACTGGGATCCGATGGGTATTTCTCGTCGCACTTTGCTGTGAGGTGATCATTTCGTCGGTACGGAAACAGGAGTTAACCAGTTCAGATACTAAGAATAAGGAAGGACGAGAATAAATAATCTCAGGTGGTGAAGCGTTTTGGGTATTTATTGTTAGTTCAGAGGAATGTTACTATAAGGTAATTGACTCACACAAACGGTTGCTGCTTCAAGATGCGATAGTGCAATATAATAGAGATTATTTTGGAAAGTATAGATTACGGCTGGCACACAAATTTTGGCCGTTTCCATAGGATTGTCCCAAATAGCCGCCTTGAACTGCACCATGAACCTGCAATATTCAAATTCTAGACATTAGACTGGAATCTATTCGATTTCACATGGCTGACGAATTTTCACTTGTTAAACAATCAAAAATCACATTGTATTCTCAGTGCTCTCCAATAATTTTTGAGAAACGAGAGAATAATAACTTTAGGATTTGTCGAATCCATGATGCTCTTTGATCCGTAATCTGAGGTAACAGTGGTTGCTGAGCAAGTGGTTGATAATGTCCAAATAGATGGATGGCAAAATCAGTGCCGTTGATCTAGCACCGGAGGTCACGACAAAGGGCCTCTCATATTATAGTTATTATTATATTTAAGGAGTTTTCCATTTAGCATATCTACCCTACAGCTGTGAGATTCTCTTGTAATAATTAGATACGAGAATTCCATGATGGAACGCATTTTTCGCACTGTTAAAGAGTCCTGAGCATAAACTGATCGAACTGGATGGCATGACTTGAATACTACAAATAGGCTAAGCACAAGAAATAAACTGATTGAATAACAACGGGAAATTCTGTT